CCCCCCCCAAGTCAATCGTTTATACTGCTTTCCTTTTAATTGACTAACTATAATTGCCTCAATTGGCCTGGAACTCACTTGTTAGGCTAGTCTTGAACCTACAGAGATCTTCCTCCTACTAGTCAAGTGCTAGAATTACAGGCATGTGCCATCGTAACTGACCATGGTCGTTTTAGAAGTAAAAACCAAAAAACCTTATAGCGATATAGAAAATATTCATCAGTCATATTTGGAGTAAGTAGTTACTAAAAATGTATTTTGGAAGAACTATTTAACAGAGATTCTAATTTAAACTTGTACACCGGATGGCGCCAGGTCATCTTTTTAATGACAGTTATGGTGCTTGTATACGCGTTAACTTTTCTTGTTTTACCCTTTCAATAAAATATACATTAACTGAAAAGTAATGCGGTACTAATAAGAACGATATTAACGACCAACCTGGAACTCATTCACATACTGCGCCATCACAAACTCGTGCCTTTCAGTTGAAAGAGGCTCTGCTAGAACATCAGGCAAAGTTTTATGGGCATGGCTTTTCTTCTGTGAGGCAGTCCCATTGAGATGACAATCGAAGCCTATATTCCCGGGAAGCTGGAATCTTTGATCCTGAGGCCCAAATGGTCCCATAGTTTCATCAGGCCACACTGTTCGAGAGCCTGAAGGGAACAACATGGGTCACACATGGTTGGTCTTCAAGTGATAAACTATGGAGTTGTTATAAACAACAAAAACAAAAACAGGGAAGCTGTAGGGCTTTGAATGTCCTGGTTACCTTATATTGTAGTAAAGTTTCTGAAGAAACAAGGATTCCATATGTAATAATTTTGGGACACATTAGGTTAAGCTTCTAAAAGCCTTTGGTATTTTGGCATACATTATGAAATTTCAAGTACAGAATATATAATTTCTCAAACCTTTCTAACCACCACCCATCCTCTTTAACTATCCTTGGACAATGACTTATAACTGGAAACTGCTGTTGAAAGAAATAATGAAGACTATTTATCAAGAAAGTAACATAATTAAAGTACCTTAGAATGATTAGTATGATAGTGATAGAAATAACAGATCAAAAGCAGCACTGTAGATTTCAGGTAATTTATTCAACAAATACATAACAAACATACAAAGTGCATGCTACATTGAAGAGATTTAGCAAAGAACTGTAAGTAGCAACATAGCTTACAGGATCAAGAGACCTGGCTGAGGGAAGACTGTGTGTCAGAAGACTGTAAAAGGAACTTTTATTTGCCTGATTAAATTGTTGTCTGGGAGGCTTACTGCCATCTTCTAATCTCCTGGCTCCTTCTCATTCTCTGGCTCATTCCATCTTCATCTGAGTTCTCTCTCTCTGCAACTTGTTTCTCTATTACTGTCGCGGTAAAACTGTCCCCCCTGGGTACTGTCCCCTAAGTAGCTTCCCTTTCCTTTCTCTTCTCATGAGAGTTGGGTGTATCCTATTCTGTCAAACCTTTCTCTGATTCATCACCTTTACTGCCATTCAATTAGACATCACTTTCAAACACAGGTGCTTCCTTCTACAAACTAACTTTACCTTCATTGTCTGAGATTAAAGGCATGTACGACCACACATGGACTTAGGCTTTTCTTTACCTGAAACTTGCTCTGTACCAAGCTGGCCTTAAACTCAGATCTGCCTGCCTACTGTCTCTTGGACTAAAGGCACGTGTCTGTGTTCCAGCCAGATCACATAGACCTGGAAGGGCTGTGGATGTAATCTCTTGCCAGGGCAGCCATGTTCTGAAACAAAAGTCCTCTACAGATGACAGAAAGAAACTAAAGTTCATGAAATTTAGGGCTGGTAAGATGGCTCAGCAAGGAAAGGTTGTGAAGAAAGAGGAACCCTCCTACATTGCTGGTGGGAATGTAAACTGGTACAACCACTTTGGAAGTCAATCTGGCACTTTCTCAGACAATTAGGAATAGTGCTTCCTCAAGACCCAGCTATACCACTCCTTGGCATATACCCAAAATTTGCTCAAGTACACAACAAGGACATTTGCTCAACCATGTTTGTAGCAGCTTTATTTGTAATAGCCAGAACCTGGAAACAACCCAGATGTCCATCAACGAAGGAATGGATACAGAAATTGTGGTATTTTTACACAATGGAATGCTACTTAGCAATCAAAAACGAGGAAATCATGAAATTTAAAGGCAAATGGTGGGATCTAGAAAAGATCATTCTGAGTGAGGTATCCCAGAAGGAGAAAGACACACATGGTATATACTCACTTATATAGACCTATAAGATATGATAAACATAATGAAATCTATATACCTAAAGAAGATAAAAAAGAAAGAGGACCCGGGGTAAGATGATCAATCCTCACTTAGAAAGACAAAGGGGATGTGCATTGGACGTAGGAGAAAACAAGAAATAGGACAGGAGCGTACTGCAGAGGGCCTCTGAAAGACTCTATCTAGCAGTGGATCAAAGCAGATACTAACACTCATAACCAAACCTTCGGCAGAGTACAGGGAATCACATGAAAGAAGGGGGAGTTAGTCTGATGGGGAAAGGAAAGGAGCTCCACAAGGACCAAATATATCTGGGCACAGGGGTCTTTTCTGAGACTGACACTCCACCAAGGACCATGTATGGATATAATCTAGAACCTCTGTTCAGATGTAGCCCGTGGAAGCTCAGTAACCAATTGGTTTCCCATAGTAAGGGGAACAGGGACTATTTCTGACAGGAACTCAATGGCTGGCTCTTTGACCTCCCTACCCCCCAAGGGAGGAGCAGTCCTGCTAGGCCACAGAGGACTTTGCAGCCAGTCCTGAAGATACCTGATAAAACAGGGTCAGATGAAAGGGGAGGAGGTCCTCCCCTGGACTTGGAAAGAGGCAGGGAGGAGATGAGGGAGGGAGGGAGGGATTGGGAGGGAATGAGGGAGCAGGATACAGCTGGGATACAGAGTTAATAAAATGTAACTAATAATAAAAATTAAAAAAAAAAAAGATGGCTCAGTGATTAAGAGTGTATACTGCTCCTAAGAGGATCTAGTTCAGTTCCTGCACTCAAATAGGGCCACCCACAACTGCCTATAACTCCAGTTCCAGAGGATTAAACACTCTACTGGACTTTCTTCCAATGGCTCAATATACCATTTTTTTAAGCTTTATGATAGTATGAATACAGTATGGAGTGAACACTAAATTTTGACATTTTCTTCAGGTAGCAACAGCTACACAATAATCTCTCATGTCATTAAGCAGTGAGCTTTAGTTCTTGGTCATGAGACCAAGAACAGGCAATATACTTTACTGCCAACCTACTATGTTTGGGAGATTAAGTGTCTCAAATGGACAATTAACTTATAATATCTTCAATTTCAATATATTTACTGGTATATATTCCTATAAGGAATATTGTTTTAATTTATTTTTTGTAACAGTTTAACTTTCTGATCTAGGCAGGACTTTATTTTCAATGTAACAAACAAAAGTTTAAAAAAAAATAAAACTCCAAGAAAAGCTTTTAGAGAAAATGCAACATAAAATGCTTTGAAACAAGTATATATAATAAAAGCAATAAATCCTTACTTACATATATCTGGAGGAGCAGTGGCCACATGCGACTCATCAGAACCTGAGGATCCTGCAGTTGAAAAGGCTTTTGGATTGATAACTCTTTTCACTAACGAACAAAATCCTGGGAGATAGGAAACCAGTCTGGCTCGGTTACAGAGCACCTAGTAACAGAGAAATTGACATAAGTTTTGGAATATAAATAATGTATTCGGACAAATCTTTGTACCGCGTCTTGTCTACATGTATGTGCGCACATGTGGTGTATGTGTATGACGACTGTACAGTGTGTGTTTGTGTATACTCAGAAGGCTAGAGGAGGACAGCAGGAGTACCGTTCCATCACTCTCTACCTTATTACTTTCAGGCAGTCTCTCACTGAGCCTGCAGCTACGATGGCGGCCACCAAGTCCCCGTGAACTTCCTGTCTCTATCTCTCTCATAGTGCTGGTGTTACAAGCATGCACAGCCATGCCCTGACTTTTACATGGGTGCAAACTCAAATCTAAATTTTTGTATTTGTGCAGTAAGCTAACACATCCCATTGTGTTGTATCTTCTACACAACATATAGTACTTTACTACTTCTGTGGAATACCTACTATGTGACAAATTATATGCGTACTTACAATGAAAACAAAACAAAACACTATGATAGTTGTCAGAATCAAAAGGGAGGCCACAATGCCAAACCCTCACAAGGAGGCCATGATGAGACATAGGGAGGTGTCGGAGAATACTGACTTGATAAATGAACTGCCACAGGAAGACTATCCAACCATAACTCTGCACAAAGGCCAGGGTGGTTTTGTGGAAAGAAAGCTTATTAAACACTTTAGGATAAAAGTGTATTTTTTTTCCAAATGGATCACAAAGTTAATCTATAAATGCTGTTAGTATTTTGGAACACAACCTGCTCCTGTGTTACTCAGCAACCTATGTGTCACCAGCCAGGTGGCCACACCTGGAAGGCGTGGTTACCTTGCCCCTTAAAGGGCCAACCCCAACAGGTGCTCTCTTCTCTCTCTCTCTCTCTGCGCCCCCCTTTCCCCTTCCCTTTTCTTTCTCTCTCCCCACCATGTCCTGCTTCCCCCCTCCTCCATACCCTCCTAATAAACTTCTTGCAGAGAATACCAGTTAACTAGCCTCATTCTTTTTTAATAAATAATTACAAATTCTACCTTATTTAATAAACATTAAAATGTAGAACTAGTAAGATTCTATTGTCCTTAAACCAGAGATTTCAGAACTTATCCTTGAATCCAAATGTTCCTTTCCAATCCTTTTCTTCTTTAACTGTTTCAGACTGTGCTAAGCACCTCCCACGCTATTCCTTCCTCTTGGTTTGGTGGCAGTGTTCATGTTCCTTAATTTTGGCATATCTATGTGGTATATTTTCTGATTTTAGGTTTATTTTCCAGACTGAGTTCAAATCGATAAATTGATAAATATGGGAGCACGGACAGAGTTCAAGTAGAATACTTGCGTTAGAATATTTAATGTAGAAGTTTTCAAATGATTTCCCATTACAGCTGAGTGCTTGGAAATAGTTTTACTGTCAGACACAGTCCTTCACTTATGCATTGCATATGACTGCTTTCATACTGTGACATGAGAATTAGCCTATGGTTCATAAAGCTTCAATTATTTGCTAGCTGGCCATTTACATTTAAAAAATACGGACTTCACCTGGCCTGGATTATCAGGAATGAGTTACCATACACAGTCATGAATGTCCTTATTTCAATATTTCAGAGCTGATATGTTTTTACATGAAAGAAGAGGTCTTCAGTTACAAGCATTTGTGGCTAATTGATGCCATCTGAATACACTGACTGACTCTATTGCCACAGTACTTGCTGACTGTACAGGAAAGCAGATGTGTGTCTTCACTGAGAATCATGTAACTTAAGAAATTTTATTAAAACTTTATGGGTTTCAGGAAAAAAGGGGTAAAATTCAAAGAAGAAGGCAGGTTCAATTTGTCTAGGTGCTAAATTATTGGCATTTTTATAACTCAGGATGTTAAGTAAATGGTTAAAGACACATGTATATTCATATTTCAATACTAACATCTGCCCAGAATTTATAATGCATATAAACTAACAAAACCCTTATGTTTGACAACTAAATAGCAAAATTTAAATTTATTTAACATACACTTCATTCTAACAAAGAATTTTTTATCTTTTAATAAATTCATCTTTCTGAATTTTTAAAAAGTCAGTGCAAATATTAGCATTATATTCTGTCTTACCTGACTTCTTTCCAAACAGTACATAGGCCTCTTTATATCACCGTCCTTTAGGGCAAGTTACAGCTTGATAAATATTCACCATAAAACTCGCCTCTTGATTACAGTCTCACCTTCAAACACTTGGCATTAACAGGAATGCCATCTCACTAATGGTTGCCACATTAATTTTTCTACTACAGCTCTGGTTAAATTACAACTTGAATAAAATTAAATTACTGAATGCAGAATTCAAAATTTCTGAATATTCTTTCATCTCCCAACCCAACTTCACCTACTATTTTTCTTGCACACCTTAGAGTCTAGTGGGCAGAAAGGTTATCCTAACATTTCAATGACTCAGGGAAGAGAGTTTTTGTTAAGTCTGACCTTCTAATTCAAACCTCTGATGAACTAAATCCCACTCATGTCTCAAAACTCAGGGTAAACATTTTCCCCATTAGGTGATGCCAAATTCTCATTTTCTCTTATGCACAGATCTCTCACTTTATCTTTTTCACACTTTCAAAAAAAGTACTATGTACTACTTAAAAATCTCACGTTGTGTGCACAACTGTCTGCAAATAGGTATGTGTGCTTGGGGTCTGATGAGGCCAGAAGAGGGCACTGGATCCCCCAGAACTGGAGTTACAGAGGGTTGTGACCTGTCTTGTGGGTATTAGGAATTGAGTCTGGTTCCTGGGCAAGAGCAGTCTGTGCTCGTAATAGCTTGGCCCTCTTTCCAGACCCTATCATGTGCTATTTCTAATAAGTCTTCATATACTTCTTATGTCCTTTACCTGTGAACTATCTAATATATGTATTGTACTATAGATAGCATTAACATATATAGTATATAACAAAATATGTATATGTATGTATATATATTGTACAATGTACATGAATATACTGTTACAAACTATATATAGTACATAGTATGCCACCTCACTAACTGTTGCCACATTAATTTTTCTACGACAGCTCTGGTTAAATTACAACTAGTTAAATGCTATCATGTTACATGTAGTATATATACTATATATAGTATATATGTATATAGCAAAACCACAAATATATATCATATATAAGTATATACATACTATATATATTTACAACTTAAACTATATGAACAATATAGGGTATATATACTAAATACATATATACAATGTACAGTAAATATTCTATATACATATGTACTATATATATTCTCTATATAGTATAGTATCTGGACACTTACAGTCTAGTCTGTGACTGAGAATAATAACTTTTGCTCTCCTTTTGTAGAAATTGCAAAGTCACTTCCTACACGGATAACCTCAAAACTTCAGATTAACCAAAGTTTGTTTGCTTTTATAAAAGGCTTTAAAACATTCTGAATATTTACTGAAAAATCTTTTAGACTTGTTGAAAGGGTGCTTGCACAGAATTTTATGTCCATAAAGTATGAAAATATGAAATTGGAGAAACGCACGAGAACAGAATTGAATGTTTTTGCTAAAACTAATTTCAAAGCATAAAAAGCCAATTTCACACCCTCCGCTCCCCGACACTGCTGATACATGAAGGCGAACAATTTGACAACGTCATCATAAATTCGTCCCTCCATTTCCTAACAAGTTTATCCTCAGAGTGACTTACATGAGCCATTTCTGGCGAAGGCGGACGCTTCCCCTTTGCAAAGGATCCCTGGGAAAGAGCAAAACAAAACAGGCTAGTGACAGAGCAAGCTGTACCGTCGGAGGCTCGGGCAGGCGCGGGCAGCGTGTCCCTCCCCACGCCAGGCCTCGGCCTCGCGTCCCCGGGAACCCGTGGGGGCCCCCCGGGCCCGGCACCGGGGCTGGGCCGAACCGAACAGGTCTGCGCCCCGAGAGCAGGCTCGGGCGGAGCCGGGCGGGGAGCCAGCCCAGGGCAGAGGTGGGACCACACCGCCAGGAGGGGCCCGGTCACCCCTGAATGTGCAGAAGAGACCGCGGGCGGGAACCATCCGTACCAGTCACAGCTCTGCAGTGCCCAGGCCCTCGCCCCTCCACTGCCAAAATGGCGACAACCGAGTTCCGGGCGGAGGCGCTGTTGGCGCCCAGGCCTGACGAGCTGCCGCCGAGCGCATCGATGCTGTCGGTCGCTCTTCGAGTAGAGGATGCTCGCAGAGCTCCAGAAGGCAAGCTGGTCTTTCATTGGATAAACAGTGGCTGGATTGCGTTGGGAAGATCAGGAACAGAGCTTGGTGAATCTTTGCTTCATTGACTCACTGGTGTCTTTGACAGACTTGTTGATGTTTTTAAATCTTTTAAATTATTTTAAGTATATGAGCGTTTTGCTTGCTTGCGTGTATATGTGCATATATGGTTCTGCTGGGACTGGAGTTACAGACGGTTGTGACCTGCCTTGTGGGTGCTGGGAGTTGAACCTGGGGCCTCTACAAGAGCAGCTTGTGCTCTTAACTGCCGATCCAACCCTCCTGCTCCCTTTGACAGATTCTTCATTGTCCCCTAAGACTGTCCTCCTGCTTCTGATGATTCTGTTTTCTGTTGTTTGTATGACTGCTGTTTTTCAAGAACTATTATTTGTGAGGACAGTTTTTTGTTTTTGTTTTTCTGTCCCAGTTCTGAGGCAGCGCCATATTCTTAATAGGCTTAGTAAATATACATATATTATGTAACGTATCTATCAATAGCACGTAGCTTATCTAAAGCATTTGGTAATAAAGCTCATGGTTAATTCTGAAGTTCTTTTGGTTTTTGGTATCCGTATTAATGACTTTTCTGTTGCTGTCTCTAAACACAAAGACCAAGGTAACTTACAGAGGAAATTATTTATCTGAGCTTACCATTCTAAGGCTCTGAAATTGGGGGATGGCTGTGACTGTGGCAGCCAGTAATAGATATGGAGGCTGAAGCAGAAGCCGAGGGCGCATATGGTGAACCATAAGGAGACAGCGAAGAGCTCCTTGGGAATGGTGGGTGTGTCTGTGGGGAGGCTTTTACAACTTAAAAGCTGCTGCCTAGTAACATACTTTCTTTAGCAATGTCATACCTCCTAACCCCCTCCCCCCAAAAGCCCAAAACAAAACAAAACAAAACAAACAAACAAAAAAAAAAAAAAAAACCCCAAACAAACCCAAACTCTATTAGCTTGGGACTAAATATTCCAAAATCTGAGACTCTGGGTGCCACTACAATAACCTTAGCAGTCTGAGAAAGAATTCATCAGGCATTTTGTTGAATGTCTCTGAATTGGAACTCAATGTTTTTCTTATGTGTTGCCGGAAGTAAGAGTATTTGGGCTAATGATACAAAATGTATTTGTTACTCAATTATATCAAGAGTCCTTATTGTCAATGTGATTTATCACTGATTATCACCTCGGTGAGTTAGAACACTACTTCTCCACTGTGAAGTTACTCTTTTCCTTCAAGTATGTTTTAGGGGAAAGTGAAAGCCCAAATTGTAGGCGTGGGTAATCATTCACCTCTTTGAGGACAGAGTGTCCTCATCAATTAGCAGGAGTTCTTTTTGTGGAAGAATTGTCTGCTTCTATTCGTCTATATATTCAGTCACTTATATTAATTTAAAATCACTTTAAATTTTTATTTTTCATATTGATTCAGTTTTGGTTTGTTTTTAGCTGGCATCTATGATTTTTTACATAACCCCATAGTTTTTGTTTGTTTGTTTGGTTTGTTTGTTTTGGGGACCCACCAATATTTTTGTTTGTCATTATTTCTGGAGATTGTTTAAAAAAATTCTGGCACTATTAGAAACTCCAGAATCTTGTTATTTAACCCCTGCCAATCCCAGTTCTAGAATGAAGTACCTTCCTGAGGAGACATGGTCATCTTTTTTAATCAGTGTGAGAGACTTGACTTCCCCATTTGCTTTTCATTTACTTAACTTCAATTCTAATGTACATGTATGACAAAACCTACAGTCAGTGTACGTGTATAGTGGGTTTGTATTAAAGCTAAGCCTGTGGAAGTCCGATTCTCCAACTATGTGCAATGCTTTTAGGTAGTTCTTTTGACTTTAGTCTTATACACTACATTCATATCTAAAGTTACTAAGCTCAACAACCCCATTCTCTTAAAATGAGGTTGTTTCATGAATTTTAAATACTGTGAATTTTCTTTAATTTTCCCCCCTCTTCTCCGTTTTTCTTATTTTAAAATCATTTTATTTCATCCGTATATTCTTTGAGCTCCTAAGACTTCCTTAAGTATCTTTGTTTATGGTTTTGACAATTACATACACACTGTCATGGATAAATTATTATAATGTCATACGTTTTGCTATTAAAAGTACTGTTTGCTTTATCTACTAAACTCCTTCACCACCTTTGATAACTAATACCCATCACTCTTTGCCCATTGTATTGTTTCCACTTTTATAGAATGTTGGAGACAGACTCTTACAATATGCCACATTTGTTAAAGTTATTTCTTTCAGTCCGCATCCTTATTTTTATGTGCCTTAATAGCTCATTCCTGTCCTTTCTTTCAGTGCCCGAATAGTATTATAATATGTGGGCATTTGACTATGTTTTTATTTTTTACTTTTCTGCATTAAAAATCTTTGGGTTTTTCATACAATTTTTTCCAGTTTTTATTTATTTATTGAGACATAGTTTCACCATTATATCAGGGTAGCCTGGAACTAACCATGCTTTTAACTCATGACCCTCCCACACCAGCCTTCTGGGTCTAGAGCAGTGGTTTTCAATCTCTCTAATGCTGTGATCCTTTAATACAGGTCCTTATGTTGTGGTTATCTTCAAGCATAAAATTATTTTCATTGCTACTCCATAACTGGAATTTTGCTACTGTTATGAATTGTAATATAAATATCTGCGTTTTCTGATGGTCTTAGATGACCCTTCTGAAAGGGTCATTTGACCACCAAAAAGGTCAACCCATAGTTTAAAAATCACTGGTCTAGAGCAAACAAGTAATCACCTTTATACCCAGCCAACTTTCCCAACTTTCTTTTTCTTTCTTTCTTTCTTTCTTTCTTTCTTTCTTTCTTTCTTTCTTT